GCAGAAATTCATTCCAGAAAGATTAGTTTAGACCAGCACTGTCCAACGGAGCTATCCACAATGAAGTAACTTTTCTATAATCTGTGATACCACAATATAGTGTTATACTACTAGACACGTGTAACTATGGATCACATAAAATGTAGCTTGATAAACTAAGGAAATAAAGTTTTAATTTTTATTTAATCTTAGCACAGGTTTGGTCACAGTAGAAAGTATATATGTCTGTTGGTTGAAGGGAAGTGTTGGAAAGTTGGAATGAGGAAAAGGAATGAGGAGATGAGTTAGAGATTTAGCTGAGATATGATTCCAGGACAGATAAAGGCAGAAAAAATATAGAAGCATGCAATAAAATATTTAATTTTCCATGTGTAGTATTTAAATTCACAGTTACATTTGGGTCATTGGTCCATCCATTTTTAATTTATTTTTGTGTATTAGGTATGGCATAGATCTAATTTCAGAAATTTCCCCAAATGAAAATGCAACCAACTCTCCTACTTGCTAGTGGTCGAATGAACTTCTAGGAATTATGCCTCAGATTCAAGAGTTTAACAAGAAAGACTAAAGATAGATATAATGCATTGTCTCAGCATAGTACTTATCTAAGTTGTAGTCAGAGATAAAATACTTTTGTTCCCATTTAATCCATTTAATTTAGAATTAGTTGTGCAATTCCTTTGGTGCTAACCTCCCTCCACATTACCTAAAATAAGTGTTCTATGTATAGCAGAGATTAAAAATATATGTTAATTTAAATAAAGATGAGACTATAGAAAGGAATGTAAAAAAGAGTACAATAGTAATTATGTCTTCAAAGTTAACCTGGTGGAATAAAATGTACTCTATTCACTATAGTTAAGTGAAGGAAGAATCATAAGAGTAACAAAATAAAGCCTTTATTATTATTTTAAAAAAGTGATTAGGATGTTTAGAGATAATATATGCACATCATTCAGCCCAGTGTCTGCACACAATAGGGCTACATTACTGGTAACTAGAAAGTAATGTTTTTTCTGATCTTGGGTGTTCAATGGAGGGGCATATTTCTCTATCATGGAATCTTCAAGTTTTTAAGAGGTAGTTTCATGTATGAAATAGAGCCTAAATGCTCTAATAAATTTGAATTTTGAAACTTTCATATGGTTTATTTCACTCCAAAAAAATAATAACTGGTGTTCATTATTCACTGATGTTGACAGTCTCTTCCTGATATTAGACATAAGAAGCTTACAAAAAATAAAGAATAGACATTAATGGGTGTCTTTCAAATTCTATGTCTTCTCTCCTCAATCATAACTTGCCTATTATGTCCTAACTTGGGACAAAAGCAGGGAACACAATAATTTATAATATGCTATGACTTTAAATATTTATGTTAGAATAATTCAATAAAAAGAATAAATTGGCAGTGGTTGAAACAGCCACCTTAGACTGGATTGACACTGAACCCTTTGACTTGGTGAATCACTGATGCAGCACCCTCAGGGGATTTGATTTCATTGGCTCCTGGGCCCAAGAATTTTTAAAAATACAAAAAAGTGATAAGGCCTTAGAGCTAAGACAGGCATCAAGGCTATCACTGGGAAGCTGCTTTCTTTTTAAATGGGCCATCCCCAAATTTGAATTTGTACTCTAGTAGAAAAAAAGTTTTGGATTTGCTGGTAAAGATGAAAGATGCTCAGAAGCTATTATCTTAAAATAGAAATCAATGGATTAAAAAGCTAGGGGAGTTTAGAAGCTGGCCTAAAGGGAGGAGGAGAATTGAATTGAGATAATTATCTTGTTACTTGAGGAAAAATTAAAGTTCAGAGAGTCAGATCATTAATGCCAAGGTGTAAATTCTCTTTCATGAGAGGGAATAAAAAGAAGTTACTAAAATTGTCCAGATTTATTTAAAATAGTATAACTTGTAAAGTGTCATTTAACACATTTAAAATATGCAGAACACTCTCAAAGACTTGGAAAATAATTTTGCTCAAGGGGAGAAAAAGTATCTCCTGAATGTTATTATTTTAAAAGAAACCTTTTTTTTTTTCCTTTTTTTTTTTTTTTTCTAATCTTGCATTTGCCTCTGGTATTTAGATAAAAGAAACAGTGGGGAAAAGATAGACATTAGTAGGGATCATCCCAAATGTTTTTATTTTTTTATTTATTTTTTATTTTTTTAAATAAACCTTTATTGTTCATATTATTACAAAAGTTCCTCATTTTTTCCCCCTCCACCAGGTTCCTACCCCACCCTCTGCCCTTTCCCCACACCCCATTGTCCTCATCCATAGGTGCACAGTTTATGTTCAATCTCTTCCCGCATCCCCCACTCCTCTTCCATACCTCTGATTCTACTATATTCAACAGTTAATATTGTTCATCAGGTTTTTTAATTCCCTTGTTTTTTTAGATTCACTTGTTGATACTTATGTATTTGTTGTTCATAATTTTTATCTTTATTTTCTTTCTCTTCTGAAAGAACCCCCTTCAGCAATTCATATAATTCTGGTTTGGTGGTGATGAACTCCTTTAGCTTTTTTTCATTAGTGAAGCTCTTTATCTGGCCTTCAATTCTGAGTGATAGCTTTGCTGGGTAGATTATTTTTTAATCCTCAATCGTAGTCTTTGTATACTATATTCTAAATTAAAACAAAAGCGAGGCCCAAAGTAATTTATAAAATGTTTGACTTTAAATAGTTTTAGTCCAGATAAATCAACACAGAGAAGCATAATTTCAAGGATCTAATCAAAATCTAGTTGACATCAATAAGAAATTTGTACCTTTTCCCCTTTGCCTTAGCTCAGGGGTTGGCAAACCATGGCTCTCGAGCCACATGCAAATCTTTGGCCCCTTGAGTGTGGCTCTTCCACAAAATACCACAGGCTGGGCGCGTCTATTTTGAAGAAGTGGCATTAGAATAAGTTTAAAAAATTTGACTCTCAAAAGAAATTTCAATTGTTTTACTGTTGATACTTGGCTCTGTTGACTAATGAGTTTGCTGACCACTGCCCTAGTTGGTTTGGCTCAGTGGATAGAGCTTTGGCCTATGGGCTGAAGGATGCCAGGTTCAATTCCAGTAAAGGGCATGAACCTCAGTTGCAGGCTTGATCTTTGGCCCTGATCCTTGATCAGGGTGCATGCAGGAGGCAACCAGTTGATGTGTCTCTCTTACATCCATGTTTCTCTCTCTTTGTCTCTCCCCCTCCCTTCCACTCTCTCTCTAAATATATATATATTCTCATCTGAAGATTTTTTTCCATATATATGAAAAAATATCTTCAGATGAAGATTTAAAAAGTAATAAAGTAAATTTGTACTTTCAAGTTTTAAAAGATAATAACTAAATAATTGCTACTTATTGATCTATGAGAAGGAACTGATGTTCCAATGAGAGCCAAATTCCCCAGTGTCCAGCCCATTGTTACTGCCTTCGCCAGGCCTGACTCAGACCATAGTGCATTAATCCACCAAAGGCAAGGTTAGCAGCTACTCATTACTCCACTTAGAAGGGAAGAGTCTTTACTTCCTTGAAAATGAGCCAATGAGGACTTTCTGTCTCAGAAGCTTGGAAGGGTGTGGCCTTGTGTTTGAGAATGGGAGGAGGAACTGGGCTGAGCAGTAATATCTCATCCTGCTGAATCAGTCTTGTCTGCAAGAGGCTTCTAAAGTACCTTATTTTCAAATCAGATCTAAATCAGCCCAGTAAGCAGGGAAACGTGGGCATGAAGCCAAATAATTAAAATGAAACACGTAATTTGGATTTCATTCTTCTTGCATTTTAAGACAAATTATACTTTGGTAAAGAGAAAAGCAATATTTGAAAACCAGTCTCTCATGTGTTCATTTCCCATTGTAAGAGCAGATATAGTCTTTAAAACTGATGTTCTCTAAGCACATAAAGAAAACATAAACCTGTGATAACTGGGATATATCCCCCTAGTACATTTTCTAAACTTAAAAATCAAAATTCCCTAAAATTTCACTTAGATCCATGTAAAATGCAGGGCATGGACTTTTAAAAGCAATCCATGACTCCTGATTGTAAAAAAAAAACAACAAAAAAAACACCAGAAACCTCAAATCATGTCCTATTAAGTTGTTCTGATGCATAGCTTTCATTCCTTGATTCCTTTATGACTCTATTATGGATTATTTACATAAACTCCTGTTTTTAATCCAAGTGTTCAAAAATACAGTCTCTGGATATCTTGCTTTTTTGTTTGTTTGTTTGTTTTGCTTTATGCTTACATTTTTAAGTGTGTTCATTTATTTGATCATTTATTCAACAAATGTTATGAAATATCTATTTAGAATCAAGCAGGATGCTAATTATTACTAGTGTAATGATGGCACTTTTTGGACCCAAGCTGTTAAAGTCTAATAGTGGAGACAAGCATTACAAAAACAACTACACAAATAAATGAGAAATTACCAATTGAAGTAACTGCTTCAAAACTATATGATTCAATGAAAGTATGAGAAAAAAAAATGTCTCAGCATAGGAATTTCATTGTGAACAAGTCATTTACTAGTTATAAGCACCAACATATTACCCTCTGGTTTGTATGAAGATAGGTCCTGAGAACAAGAGAAAATTGTTACAAATCTTAGGATTCATTTTAGGCAAGTCTAAAAGCTCTCCTCCATCTCTCCCCAACAAAGAAAGAAACAAACAAACAAACAATGTATATTGTGTCTATTATATAGCCAGAAAAGGCACCATCAAAAATCACCTGAAAGAAGAAAATATGATGAATATGCTCAAAAATGCTTCCTTCTTTCTAGTAGTCACATTGCTTCTAGAAGGATCAGACCAGTTTCATTTGGATTTTGCTTTTTTAAATTTTTTAAATTTTATTTTAACCCAAGTTGGTAGAAGATGGTTTTCAACATACCCCTGAATGGAACTCTCATTTTAAAAGTGAGAAATTTGAACATATGCTCATTTTTAAATGCTTTTCAGTTTTTGATAAAGGGTTGCATGGTGCTATCTCTGGTCTGTTCTCAGGAGACTATGTGGTCATGAGTGTCTACTTTGACCTGAGCAGAAGAATGGGGTACTTCACCATCCAGACCTACATTCCCTGCACACTCATTGTTGTTCTATCCTGGGTGTCTTTCTGGATCAATAAGGATGCTGTGCCAGCCAGAACTTCTTTAGGTAAGACACAGTTCTTTGTGTGATAGCACTTTGTGTGATAGTCAAGGTAAGTACCTAAAAGGCATAATCTTTATCTCCCTTTCCCAATTGATTTGCTTTTAATCCAATCAGCAACTATATAGAAATGCTCTTTGTTTCATTTTAAAGAAAACTAGTATATTAAAAAGGGGAAAATGTTTAAAGTTTCCTAATTATGTTTTTCTTAACAAATTTAATATGCTCCCCCCCTTCAGTAAATTATCTTAATAAATTTAAATTAGCTAAAAACAAACAAACAAACAAACAAAAAACCCTTCTAATTTCAATAGATTTTTCCTTGTGGTCTTTGGGCAGTTCTGTAAGCTCGAACTACTGACACCAACTCATGAGAACTGATAATTTGTCCTTTCCCAATAGTGTTTCTATAACAGTGATGTCACATTGGCAGCTTGACATCAACTAAGGTAAAAGTAGTAATACCATCGAAATAAGCAAACACTAAAAATCAAATCATTCATTTTTTTTCTAAAGTAATTTGTTACATCTTTACCAGCACACTATGGGCTGTTAATTCCAACATACATAATCATGATGACATTAGAGGACATACATACATGTTAATTGGTTACTTACGAGCCAGTAGGAAGATTATTTTTGGGAGGAAAAAATCACCTATGAAATTTTGAGAACCCATCTCCCCACTTTCAAGATTATGTACAGTTTTCTTAATCTATTATATAATGGTGATATTTGTCTCAGGTTTTCACATTTTTTTTTCTCACATGAGGAAGAAGGTGCACAGAGATTATAAGAAAGCCACAGAATCACAGGGACATAGGAGTCTAGGTCCATGAATAAAAATTCCCTAAAGATTTAACTAAGAATAAAGCTATTGAAAGATAAATTATTCAACCATAATCCTTTTCATCCTCTATGAGGAAATTAGAATCACATCTCTTGCTCAGTCTTTTCTGGGAAGGCAATATCATGCAATAGTTAAGAGCTGGGGCTTTGATATCTAACAAACCTGAATTGCAACTCACAATTATAGTATGGACCTGGAAATATCCTTTAATCTCTATTTTTTACAATTTCCTCACATGTAAAACATATCATTTTCTTTACCTAACTTATGGGGTTTTATTAGGTTTAGTAAATTATTCCATACAAAGAATACAAACCATAGTAAGACCTAGGAATCTTAGCAACTGTGGTCATTTTCTGACAAAATGATCTGTCCCAGGCTACTAAACCTGAGGGCAGAGTGATTACTGGGGAAATTTTTAAAATATATAATTTACATATTTGTGCTATGCCAAATCTAATTTAGTCTTCCATCTGTTTCAAAATAAAGTTATTTTGATTTTCCTATTATATGTGGTACTTTATGTTACAAGTACTATTCAACAATAGTGTCTAATGCTACATTGCTAAAACAAACCCAAAATAGTGTGAGCCTATTACTTTAAGATGATTAATTGTCACTGTGAGTAGAATGTGTTGTATAACATGCTATGTCTGTCTCTCACATTAGCACGCAAATATCTTTTATTCCCAGTATAGTGCATGGCACATAGCTGGTAGCACAATGATTATTTTTGAGTAATATATGTACACTTACAAATAAACTAAAGGATGGTGCATGAATTCATGCATGGGTGGGGTAGTCTGGGTGGCCTGCAGGGATCAGCCTGAAACCCACAGTCCAATGCCATCTACAGCTCCTACCTGCCACTCCCACTCATTCTGGCCCCACTGTACCTCCACTGGCTTGAACCCAATCAGTCCCGATCAGAAGAGGCTTGTGCCGCCAGAATGCGAGAGGGTATAGGCCAGGCTGAGGGACCCCGCTGGTGCACAATTGGACCTGAGAGGGACCATGGGAGGGCTTCAGGGTATGTCTAGCCCATCTTGCTCAGTCCTGATCAGAAGTAACCTAGCAGCAAGCTAACCTAACGGTCAGAGCACCTGTCACCTGCTGGTCAGTGCATGTCATAGCAACTGGTCAATCACTCAACTGTCTGCCCCCCTTGTGGTCAGTGCACATCATAGCGAGTGGCTGAGCAGTCTTAGCATATCATTAGCATATTACACTTTGATTGGTTGTTCGGTTGTTCTGCAGTTTGTTCTATTTGCATATTACCCTTCTATTAGAGAGGATGGAATAAATAGATTTCTGCATTCCAATTTATCCATCCCACAAATATTTTAAGTAAAAGATTTCAAATTGATTTCCTCTCTTGAAGTACACAGTTCTACTGATCAAAATCCCTCTTATGGCCACTCTGGTAGCTCATTTAACTACTCATTAAATGAGCGCTCATTGGCAATAGACCATGGTGGGAGAAGGGAGCAAGGTGAATGAGCTAAGAATGAGGGAGAGAGCCCTGAGCAAAAAGCAGTCATTGACTACAAATTGATCATTGAGAACAAATCAGGCATATTCAATATGGCCCCCTTGCCTGTTCTACTCTTCACAACTAAAGCATGTATAAGTCGTTGTAATGATTACAAAAATTATCATATTTTTTAGAGCTAAGGAAGCAGAGGTGTTGCAAAGTTAAATGGCATTTAAGAGGCAACAAATATTTGTGGGCATAGTCTATGATTCTAATTACATTTCCTTTCCCATTACTGAGGTTGCTTATCAGAAGCCACAAAGCAGGTTTAGCTTCCATGGTGACTAAGTCACCCAACTTGCTGATGTGGTTACATGACCTTTTCTACCTTGCCTCTCTTTAGGTATCACAACTGTCCTGACAATGACAACCCTCAGCACCATCGCCCGGAAGTCACTGCCCAAGGTCTCCTATGTCACAGCAATGGATCTCTTTGTGTCTGTCTGCTTCATATTTGTCTTCTCTGCTTTGGTGGAGTATGGCACCCTACATTATTTTGTCAGCAACCGGAAACCAAGCAAGGATAAAGACAAAAAGAAGAAAAACCCTGTATGTATCATTTCCCACTGGGACCACTAAAGTTTTTATGCAGAAAAGACCACCTGGTTTTGTCTTGTTTGGTCTATCTGCAGGTTATGCCTCAACACTTTGGGCTCCAAGATGAAAACAGAATGTGTGACTTTGACCAGAACATAAGGATTCATTATGGTTATTAGTTAAGAGATACCTGATTCACTAAGGCAGATTCTTGCTCTCTTCATTTCATGGGGGCTATAACCATTGCTGAGGGATGCATCTCTCTTCTAACGGCTATTATTCCAGCTTTTATTTATTTTCACCTTTCTGCCCCCTTACTATAAGATTTTTAAATTATTGATATTTTAAATTAAGATTTTCTATCCAACGCTTTCTACCAGGAAGCCATGAGAATCTTTAAATTTCAAAAATCATCACACTTTTGCAACTGGTGTGTGTGTGTGTGTGTGTGTGTGTGTGTGTGTGTGTGTTGCCACCAGAGGACTTCTCTTGGCTTCATACTCTGTCACTTGTTTATTTTAAAAGAAATATCTCAACTATTGTTTGGGCAAGTTACTTAGCCTTCCTATGTTTTTATATAGTCATATATAACAGAATATTATAAAATATGTTATAGGACTACTGTGAGAAATAACTATAACAATAGTAAAAAGCATTACATAGTACCTTACACATGAAAGTTCTTATAGTTTCCTAGTTGACGATGACAGTTGATGTGGGTGATTATATAAGTACTAACCTGGATTGATTTTAGTGATTTGGAACCAGAGAGAATGACTTCACCTTGCCACCAAACTTAAAATAGAGATGATGAAGCACAAACATGAATGCCAAAAGCAATTGTCTTTTATTATTAATGTTGAAGAGAACATATAGCTACCCATTTACCTACCTAAACACAATATCTGGCTCATAGGAGGTCCATGAAAGTCAAAGTCCCTTCCAAGGCAGGGGCCAAGGAATTCACCCCACTGATAGCCTTTCCTGATCTGCTCTAAGGGCCATGAGAGATATGATAGTGGCTAACTCTCTGACCCGTGGACTTTGGGAGACTAAATTATCATGAGGAAGTCTGGCTGATTCTAGGTTGTATCCTGATGCATCTCCAAGAACACCAGTGAAATTCTCTACACGGTATATGTTTGTTTCAATATAAGAATTTATAACAGGTAAAGAAAGAAGCATCATTTTTATGATTAATAAAAAATAAATGCTTATCTCTAATTCCCCAAATACTCATTACACTTTATGCAGTCCTTCTCTTCCCTGTGTGTTCTGCCTCTCTTTGCCTTCACATCTTCTCTCTCCTTATTTTCGTTTCCTAATTGTGTTTTTGTTTTCTCCCTCTCCTTCACTTTCCATTTCATCCCTCTACTCCCCCACCCAAAAAGATGGTTCTACTGATACTTAGCATTATTACCTGCCAGTAATTATTACAAGGGTACAAGAGGACTTGCTTTCAAACCAATTTGAAGAGTCCTCCTCCACCACCCTCCCTCTCTCTCTTTCTTCCTCTTTCTCTCCCTCCTTTTCCTTCCTCCCTCCCTCCCTCTCTTTTTCTGAGTCCTTGGGAAAAAAAACCTTTGCCCCTCTCTAACAGCTAGGTCACTGCAGAGTGCATTTTGTTTCAGAAATGGAAACATGTGGATTCCTTAATCCATGGTCATGAAGATGACAGAAGAAAACAAGGCAGAAGAGAAAAAGATGAAAGAAACTGAGAAAATAAAATTACCTGAGAATTTCAAGCATTTCCCCCTTTTAAGTCAATTAGATGCTTTATCAGAGTAGCAAGAACATAAGGTACTAAAGAGCGCTGAATTTAATTTGCCCATTTAATATGTGCTTTGATTCATTATGTCAGGATTCACTTAATAAGACCTTCTTAGTGATAATTAGAAAATAAAATAATAAAAAGATTCCTCACAAATGAATAACTCTGGCTTTTGTAGTTAGATAATTGTGGGTTAATTTATGAAAGATTTCACTAGCAATCATCAAATTCTCTTTTTTCAACGTTAGGCATATACTTTGTTCCATGTTCAAAATTGTCCTTCTGTGCCTATAATTTTAGTTTATTTCACCTACTATGTTTTCAAAATGCATTTTTAATTTATCTTATTTTGTCTCTTTTCTTTCCCTTTTCTTCCTCTTCTTTTAATGAAATGAAATGCATTCTCTTTTCTGTCTACAAACCCAAAGCTTCTTCGGATGTTTTCCTTCAAGGTATAATGTTTTTGGAATGGAAATTCACTGCATGCAACGGCTGAGTTTAAGTATTAATGCTTACATGGTGTTTGTTTTTTATGAATAGACATTTAAGCATTCTACTAAAGATAAAACATTTAAAATGTGAAAGTTCTGTTTATTTCTAGAGTTGATTCAACAACCCTATGCTAATTCACAGAGGTTTTGGCCTTACATGAAGCTAAAAAGCTATAAGCACTAGATGTTGTTAGTGAAGAAGGCTTCTCTAAGTTTCAAAGTCAAAACTTACCCTTTCTTTGCAGATGAAAATGAAATCTAGTATCACTGCCTGCATCTGCCATATACCACATATAACCTATGTGCCATAAAATTTTAGTTCTGTAAATCCTAATGCAAAAAATAACTTCCTTTGGCCTAAGCTTTACCTGTCTGTTCTGTAAAAATAATACTCTCTTTAAAATGCTTTAGTTAAAAAACCTATCCCTTCCTTCTAGGATGGCCTTTTGGCTCTGTCTTGCAATATTATAAGATTTCTATTATAAGATGTCAAAATTCAGTTGAATTTTGACAGCTGATTCGGAGACACTGGGATTTATATTTATATTATCGTAAAACTAAATCATCCAAATTAACTTCAAATAGACCACTGAGTCTTAAAGCAATTTTATAATTCATCCCAAAATATAAGTTAGATTAGGATTCAGCTGATTAGTACTATTTTTTTTCTCAAATGCTAAATAATGTTTGACAGGCAGTAGAATATTTTTTTTGAATCTCACTCACTAGCAGATAAACCTTGCTGACATTCTGAAACTTCTAGATGATGAATATTACACAAAGTACCATATTCCTCTAAAACATGAGCCATATTCTTGTAGTACAAACTCGGGAAACTTCTATAGTATGCATATTTTTAACATTTTATATTAAAAGCATCTAATAAATTTGCTCAGTATAATGGGGTTTACTATTTGCCGATAGGTGAGCATGACACAGAATGTGATTTCAAAATTGATACATATTTTATTTCTCTGTTCTACTCACATGCAGAACCATTCAATGCTTTTATGTAACCCAGTTCACATCTAATATTTACTAGAATAAGATTCCATGTAGTTGTTTGATTTAAATCTTTAAACTTTGCGTTCTTTTGGTGTTTAATCTTCTTGCTCCAGCTATAAGCTTGATGGTATTATTTTCAGCTGCACTGCTTAAACTCAAAATTCAAAATCTGCAAATGTGCTATCCTTCTGAGTTTAATTTCACCATTGTAGATCACGATGTCATAGCAATTTCCTGAGTACTCATTTTCAGATTCATCATTCACTTTGCTAACATTGTGGAGAAATAGCCCAAGATTTATCAAGTGGAATTAACTCTGATCCCTTCTTGTCCCTCCCCTGCCTCAGGCCCCTACTATTGATATTCGCCCAAGATCAGCAACCATTCAAATGAACAATGCCACACACCTTCAAGAGAGAGATGAAGAGTATGGGTATGAGTGTCTGGATGGCAAGGACTGTGCCAGCTTTTTCTGCTGTTTTGAAGATTGCCGAACAGGAGCTTGGAGACATGGGAGGATACATATCCGGATTGCCAAGATGGACTCATATGCACGGATCTTCTTCCCCACCGCCTTCTGCTTGTTCAATTTGGTTTATTGGGTCTCCTACCTCTACCTATAAAGAGATAGGGGTCTTAGTGTTACAAGGGTCTTATTTACTAAATCTCATGGAGAGAAGATGTCATTTCAAAGTCCACTTGAATAATTCTCTGTGCGGTTTATAATGATCTGAATTTGTTTCTTTGTTCTAACCTGGTAAATTGTTATTAATGTCATATTGTTTGCATTCAACTTGCCTTTGATAAGTGTAATTTAAACTATAATGTTTCTGTGTTGCAAACCTGCAGGACAAGTTGAAATTAGAGCAAGAACATTGAAATCAAACAAGGTATTTCCAGCTACAGAACTGAGATAGGAAAAGCAGTGAGTATTTGCAGTGGTGGTGTCCTCATCCCATTCAAAATACAGTTAGATGCAAAATATTCCAAACTGTTCCCTAAGACCATTGGGGGGTCAAGTTGTAGTAACTGATCCCAACAGAATATCTTCCACATTTGAGAAAAATCACAACTCATTTTAAATATAAGAACCTAGACAAGAAACCTATTATACCTCGATAGAAAGAAAGATAGAAAGAAAATTCCCTTCATATCACATGTACAATGATGTAAATATTTCAATAACTTAGAATGCTTCAAGTTTAATGCATGCATCTCTTTAGAGGCAAAATAAATGTATTGAAGTTAACATCATAAAGCATTGTCTTTTACTCTTTGTGTCTTTGGGCTACAAAAGAATCATGAATGCAATTATAAAGATTTGGGATTGGAATTGGAGGGGAAATTTTTCACTATCATTTCCCTCTTGCATAAAGATTGAAATAGCTTATACTTCCTCATATGACATATTAAACACTCTGAGTAAAATATAGACTGAATATTTGCCACCTCTAAATATGCCAAATTTCATAGAGTATAAAGTGATTGTATGTGCTTGCTGCTATTTTCCCTTCCTTTAAGGACTATAGATCTTAACAGAACTTACTCTCCATCGCAAGATCTGCTTGTAGTGACTGTGAGTGCCTCGGTGGCAGTGTCCTTTTAATGTCCTCTTTGGGTCCTAAGCACCTTGCACAGTGCTTGGCACATAGTTGGTGCTCAACAAGTATGGTTTGGAGTGAACTGGACCCATATCATGCCAATGTATTTCTCTGTGCTGGCCTGGAACCAGTGACTCATCTTTGCATGTTGGCAATGTCAAGTGATATTTGACTTTGTAGAAATAAACAGAAGGATCCAAAGAACTTAGGCTATTTATATTCATTTTCAAAAGTTTATTTTAGCTAATGTCTATATTCCTTTAAAACAATACTTACGTCCTCTATTTGTATACAAAAATTAGTCTGCTAGAGAATAATTAAAAGTTCTATATTATTTCATGTTTAGAAGTGAATCAACTTTGACCTATGACAATTGTCCTTGAGGACACATGACAGGCATGATCAATACTCATACCTGACTAGTATTTAGAATATAGTATTCTATATTCTGTGAAAGAAAAATTTAATGTACTGAAGATTAAATTTAAAAAATGAAATAACAAATGAATGACTTACAAGGAGGCTGAGCCTATGCAATCATTCAGGTAGATTGTAATCACATGAAGTGGTTGTCACAGACTTTAAAACATCATGAGTAGAGCTTCATCTTTGTGGATTCATCCTGAATCCTTATTTTTCTAAGTTAGCATCCTTTGCCAGTTCTTCTTTATGGCAATCATTGCTCTAAGTAAGAATTCAATCAGAGCTAGTAAAGCTTTATAGAGTAAAAAAGAGTAGAAAAGAATAGAAAAAAGAGACAGTGACTTTGTTACTATAAATCCATGTAATGTCATCTGGATGAATCTTGAAACACATCTAGCTGCCAATTTTACAAATGTTTAATATACCAGTGCTCTAGTGTGTAACCTCAAACACATGTAAATAGAATCAATTATTTTCTTGTTTTGGATTGTTAACATATTAAATGTTGACTCCTTGGGAGAGTGGTTGGCAAATTTTCAATGGTGAGACACGTTATTATTGTCAACTTGAAATGTATTCCATAATGGGGAGACTCAGAAAAGCTGGCTTTCCAATGTGGGCATAGTATTGGCAATATGAATATATATTATACATACCCTAAATCTTCATTATCAACTGCTCCCTGTCTATGTATCTGAAAACCTTTTTGCAAAGGGAAATGCCTACTATGTGGACTTTTACAATAAAAATGCTGCATTCTCATCCATGGTGGCATCCCAGTGGTCTGATTGGATGTGTATGTCTTAAAGAGTGTGACCATTTCTTCCTGGCTCATTCCCCAACACTGCCTTCCCTTTCTGTGAGTTTCTCTCGTGAGCAGTGAATCGTTTTTTGTATCACGATGCCCTTCATTTCACAAGAATTAAGAAATGCATTTGGGGTATGGCATTAGGGATAGAAGGTAGAAAGGTCATGATGTAATAAAGCTCAGGCCTTCTGTACCTCAAAACTTGTGGTGTGGTTAAGAATATGAACACAATGTCAGACATAGTTGGAATCCCAACTCTACATTTGAAAAAAATATATTTTATGAATTTTACAAAGAGGAAGGGAGAGAGATAGAGAGTTAGAAATACCCATGAAAGAGAAATATTGACCAGTTGCCTTCATCATGCCCCCGACTGGGGATCAAGCCTGCCCACAACCAAAGTATATTCCATTGATCAGAATCAAATCCAAGACCCTTCAATTCACAGGCCGATGCTCTATTCACTGAACCTAATCAATCAGTGCCCAATTCTACATTTACTAGTTATTTAACAATTGTCAATTCAACCTTAATGAGGCTCCATTTTCCCTGCTATAAATTAGGTACAATAATGCCAACCAATGTAGTGTCTCTCAACAAAGGGGCAAAAATCCCTTCCCTCACTTCTAGTGCCTAAAGTGCTCAGTACCCCGTTGGGTCAGCTCTCCTAAAGGAAGGCAGCCTTAATGTGACTCTATGTCACAATGTTTGATCTTTAAAGAGTACGCATTGCGAACATTCTTTAAAAATCTAGGTTGAAAATCTAAGTCTACTGTTGAAAAAAAGAAAAAGAAAAAACCCTCACACATTATATTAGTTTTTTTTTTTTTTTTAAGGCTAAAGAGCCCTTCTCTATAGCCCTGAAACTTAGAAACATAGAAAGCTATCCTCCAGAACCCCATTTTCTTGAAGTCCTTTGAAATTTTCAAAAAAAAAAAAAGTAGCATCATTTTTTAAAAACACAGCTGCTCTAACCTCCCTCTGCCTGTCATTATCCTGGTCCCTTATGGCTTCCAGCATCCAATTTAAACATCTATTTCCCACCTCTCAGGCATGTAAAGAAAAAGTTTTTAGCTAGGTCTTGTCTGTTCTCTAATTAATGCCCTTATCTTTAGCTGAGTCGATATTCATGGTATGGTCTTTACACACACACACACACACACACACACACACACACATACACACACACTGTTTTAAGGTAGCAACATTATTCTGACAAATAGCAACAATTTTTATGTGGTGAAGGTCAAATTACATCAACCAAATGAAGTGGCCTTTAGGGATTTTGTCAAAAATTGCTCTCTTTATGCTTTGTCACTATGGTTTCTTGTCAAACATGTAGGAGAAAGGGAGACTGACCTAGGCCAAGAGCTCTGCTATATTTTCTCAGTACACGTTAGGTTTCCAAAGGTCACACAACCAGTTAATGGCAAACATGAAAAAGCCACCTGGGCATTATTGATCTTTCTTCTGAACCTCATAGTATCTCAGGATTGGGAAGTAAAATTCTGAAACATTTTATTCTTCTATCTTTAGGATTTGCCACATTTGCTGATCTTGACCTCACTTTCATTGTTTTAATTTCAATAAGGCCAATTTTAAAATACCTAGCAGCAGAAATGAGTTAACAGATTTTGCATTTCATTTCTTCTCTAATATAATAACTAGTCAATATTGAATGTTACCCACAGTTTTCAAAATTCTGTTTGAAAGATGAGATCTACAGTGGTATGAAAAATTGCAGAATAAGAGTTGGCCTTTGTCCCTCAGGGATTGGGACATTAGACAACCATGCAGTCTCCTCTGGCTGGACTATAGGCTCATTCTTTCTACTATAACAGGAAAGTTGTGCGAGTGATCTAAACCATTCATTCTAACGTTAGAAATTATAGGCTACTTACAAAATCCAATTGTCACTTACTTTTGCTATAATTCTATATAATAAAACTCTAATTTGCAAATCGACTGAATGACCAATGGAATGACTGGTTTCTATGATGCACACTGATCATGAGGGGACAGACTCGCTCAACGCAGGAGCTGCCCCCTGGTGGTCAGTGTATTCCCACAGGAAAGCTGGGCTCATGGCTGGTAAGTGCAGTGGTGGTGGTGGAAGTCTTTCTTGCCTCTGCAGCAGCACTAAGGAGCAGCAAGCAGGTGGGTGGTAAGAAGTGAGGGGTCCCAGACTTTGAGAGGGATCTCGGATTGCAAGGTGGATATCTCAAACTCTGAGACAGCGCACACAAAGCTGAGGGATCTCACACCACAGTACACAAATTTCATGCACCTGGCATCTAGTTAAGATAATAAAAGTCTTCCCCTGTTATTGTTTGTATAACAAAATGAAAAAAGCAGAGGCTTTTGCCCTAGATTACCTCGGTTCAAATCCTGACACTGTTCAAACCTAGTGTCCAACTTTATTTTGCCTCAGTTTCTTCATCTGAAAAATGGGAATAATGATGGTTCATAGTTTTATTGTAAGGGACAACTGTATTACTACTAAAGGATGATTGAATGTTAGTAATTTTTCTCAGCACAGATATGAAGTATCAGAAATAAAAGGGCACAAGAATCATAGTCTACCTTGTTTAAGAATTAGTATTTATTATTTTAACTACTACAGTTTTCTACTATGTATGAATGCATTTAAATAAACATCTTTACTGACATCATGCCATACTTGGAAAATTCGTGTACATAAAGGAAATTATAGAGCTAAGTAACCATTTCCAAGTGGAACTGTGTATCATTTAAATTACTGTATGTGATATATAAGAAAATACAAAAGTAG